TTGAAGCCATAAAGAGTCGAAGAGGGCTAAATGGTGCTGATAAATTTCTAAACGAGTAGTTGAAGGTGGGCGCGAATACAAAGATAAATGCTGCTGTCCAGTTCGAGAATCGATAAAGTATGCTGAGTGCTCAAGCAATTTGAGCTGCCTATTCGAGTAGATATGCTGGTGAGGGAGAGCCTCGGTCGGTAAAAGAAAATAGAGAATTAAGCTCAAGCAGTTTACAATGCTCGACAAATGAATCAATAATTCGAATATAGAAGATTCCAATAGTGTAATTAAAAATACCTAGCAGACTTGGGTTCAAATATGAGACCGCAACCTATGAAGATGTATATATATATTCACTTTGCAATATGCTAAATTCAGCGCTCTTCGATTAGCTGTATATCAATTTCAGTGATAGAAAGCGCAATTAACAAGCCCGCAGAATATAATCTTAAAAAATCAATTATTGGAACACCACAAAGAACTCACCTGTAGAATTTATTATCGATAATAAAATTTCATATCGTTACATCGATCAAAGAGTTAACTTCATGCATGCATTCATATTTTCTTTGGTGTAGTATAGTTTATTTGGGTGAATGCAGCATAGAAACACTTTATGACGAATTATATGATAGAGTTCAAATTAAACTTAATAATGTAAATACTTATCATACATCACTATTTATCCTTGCGCGTTGTCTGCTACATTTTATACATGCTGAATAATAATAGTTATTGGTGGTGATCAGTTATCGGGATCCAAAATTATATGTCCGAATTCGATATCGCAAGATGTGAAAATAAGCGCTGTACGGAAAATTGGTCGTAATGAGTTTACGATCGCACGTGTCGTACAAGTACTAGCATTTGCTTTCACAATTTTAGTGCGCTACACCTGTAACGACTAATGCTGTATTGCAGAAGTAAAAGGTTGTAAGTATACTTTTTAACATTCAATTAGTCTAGGGTACCATTATGCTGTTCTGTGAATAACCTACTATGCCTGCAAATTGATTACGAAAATATAATAAGTTGATGAATATCTGGTATTTGTTGCTAATCAATAATGTAGTAAATGAACCGTCTCCAACGTCATGCAATCCATATTCAACTGAACCATCGGCAATGTGCGAGGCCTTTTTATTTTCTAGTTCCCTATCATTTCGAGGGTACGTTGTAAGGTGACTCGAGTTAGCTGCTCATATTAACAGCTTAAGATTAACAAACATGTGGGTACGATGGTCAATCATTATCGAAATAAAGAGGTCTCCTAATTTGGATTAAACAAAATAAAATATAATAACACACTCGTGATCATTCAGATGCGAAAATCACATACTTGCGATAAGGTGTATATAAGGAGTCCATTGAGTTAGGCTTATATAAAGAGTGGCAATTCATTACTTTGGCCTTGTCTTCTTTACATCTTATACGTATAAACATAACTCCTGGTCTACTTAGGGAATTATGTATTATCTTTATATCGCATTTTCTTATTGGTACAAATCCACCTCTACAGTACCAGCTCGTTATTTTCTTCGTCTATCTCATCACTAACTATTTGCATCGATAAATAAGATGCAAGGTCGTCTAACGTAAGACTGTCATTAAAATTTTTTTGTCATATTAAAGTATATACGATCCCTAGGGGAGAGCAGGTCACTATCACCAGCGAAAAAACTCTTTGCATTCCCTTCTATGTAAAAATATAAAACTAGTCAAGGGTATAGGTGATTAATTAAAATTGAGATTTGTAGGGCCGCATCTAAATTGTAACGGGGCAGCCCGTTACATGAAATTGTCACTTTAAGGAAAGTGACAATAAAGAATATAAAGATGGATATTCTTTAAAACAATATCACCAAAGTGGTGATATTAAAGGGTCGACCAAAGGGTCTGTTCATTGGTTGATATCGTGATGATATCAACCCACCAATCGCCGCAAGACGCGCGCAATGAGTGGTGACGAGACGTCACCATACATGCAGTTATATTAGTATAATTGAATTAAGTCAAACGAAGAGACAGTAGTTTAAAGACTTAATTTATTAATATAACAGTTCTACTTTTACCCTACCTACGCTTCCTCGCTTGCCACGTGTACGTCTGTCGGGGCACTCAAAACCCTTGCGTTAAGTTACGCAAGGGTGTGCCCCGTTACATAAATCATACATACGCTTCCGTTATACTATAAGCTCCTATAGAATAAAATAAATTGATTGCAACAACTTTCATATTAACATCAGGTTGTACATATTCTCGTCGAGAATGATAAACTCATTGAGCCACTAAAATACTGACTATGCTTGCTTACTTCTGCGCATTAAGCCCTTCATTTTATATTAATGCAATTATATAGGAGTAAATGATAGAAAGTCAAGTTCGTTTTTTAATCAACTTGTAAAAGTACTCAAATCGTTTGTGATCCTGTATTAAACCGTTGATGCGTACAAGGGAATACTTGAATAAGATAAGAATGAATGCAATATGTTCAATCTATGTCAAAACGTCACACATTTATCCATAAATGCATATAGGTATATGTATAATATTGAAAACTAACCGATATGTTTTGATTTGATCATTTGATGTAATCATGTACAACATAGATCGCGGTCTTATCCATTCTTGTTCGTCATCATAACGTTTCACACTTAATCCTCTTAATAGTAATTAAAAAGCTTTGTAAATTAACTAGCTATTTGAAATTTGTCTTGGTAAAATCTGCGTATCAATTACAATAATTCGATACTCATTTGTTGCAAATCTTACAGTGCCCTACGCTTTATTACCGCTTCCATCTAAAAATCGTGAGAGATGACTTCCTATTTTACACCAATATCACACATATATAGTTGCAAGAGCTTTGCATGACCGGCAATCGTGTCGAGTAGTAGAAATCATATATGGTACGACTTCCATCGATCCCAAACAGCTTCATATCGTTCGATTTCTTGTTTTCTGCGGTCTTTCTCGCGTCGTCTTGTTTTTTTCCATTATCGCTACAATTATCGTGGATACACATTTTTCAGCGTCGAATATTAGGTCTTTAAAATAAATATGTGTATATATATACGTATTTACTACTAGATACGCTAAATGCTTCTTTTTAGAAACATTAATCTTTAATTAGAAAACAACGTGCTTGGTTTTTTTTCAAATTATTCGCAGTATGTACTTGTCGTCCAGCATCTTCTTATATCACGCATATGAAACGTCGCTACCAATTCTGATCCAGATTTTAACAAAACATTTTCTTTTTTTAATATCTTCGTAATGAACCAGGCATGCAATTGCGACGATTTGATCTAAAATCTGTGGCATGGGCAAAACCTTGCATTTAATTTGTTATGATGTAAAAATTTATCTCAAGACATCATCTGTAAACACGATTTCGATGTACCCACAATATAAAAAAATTATGACAATACCAGGCCAATAAAAGCAAATGACTTCTACACAAACCCGAAGATAACTGGATGTGTAATTGACTGTATATTTTATTACCCGGTTGAAAAAAATACCACTTTAATTGTTCATTGTATTACTTTTTACTTACTCGATGAAACAAAACGACGATATGACACATATCTTTAACTAAGTACAATACGTTGATTGCATAATTGTGCGTTGCTTATATCGTCATACTATGAACTAGTGATGTTGATGTATGAATTCATTCGTGTTAGAGTATTATGTTTGTGGTTTATTTTTTGTCGTATTACATCCTTAAATATGAGGTCTGTATATCTTTTTATATGAACGATGGTACAACTTCAACGGCTCAAACCATACTTTATATTTTCGACTCATACCGCGGATCTATACTGATAAGTAGACTTGATTATGGTTAATTGATGGACATATATTTATAAATTTCTATCGGTTGTACTCTTTGAAACGAAATTCAAAGAAGCGTCCGTATACCTGTAAACATTTGCAGGCCGATCATGTATCGTTTTATATATTGGTATAGAGAATTATTGCTTTGGTAAGATATAAAGTAATGTTATGATTATTATTTGTATAAATGATTACTCATGAAGGTGAAACCTCAAAATAAATTTATTAACGTACTTGCACGCGTAAAGCAAACATAGAGTAGTATCGTTATTATTTTCACCAATAAAGGTATGGCATCCATTATTTTTATCTGCTTCTTGCCCCCTGCTCCCTTAACAAGTGAACAAATACTATTTGTCGCGAGATTAAGAATACATACAAACGATTGTCCAGAAATTATATTAGCTTATACTTTTATACGCAGATATTTGCAGTAAGACTTATCGCAATACTGTAGTTTAAGTTGCCGGGACAAGTCTAGTACACTATCGAGATCCCAAAACATTATTTACATGTATCATTAAAAAACTAAACATGATTTGTTTGTTTCCTTCGCTATACATCACGTACCGTACCTGAAAAAATAAAATTTATATATTAAAACATTCACGTAAATTATGCTCTTTATGAATCTTTCTTTGATAGTAAATGATCATATTACAACTAAATTCACTCTTTAAACGATTCGTGTTTTCAATTCTCTAACATACAAATTTTTGTGTGCACATGTGTCGCATCGAAATGCGAAACTTTCAATGTCGTTGATACGATATGTGTGATTTGAATCGGATTTATACCTAAACACTTTGTCAAATTTACATAAAAAATAAATAGGCTTTTGTTGTGTAATGAATCAGCCGACTTACACATTATGTCCATATATATAAAAGATTTAATATCATGACTGATCATAATTTGCAAGCTTTTTAATTATCATAATTGATCATATAGCGAAAGCAGACCTATTTATCCGCCTGAATTGATGTCTTATTTATTCAAGGAATTGCTAAATTTACACCCCTTTTCTTTAAATTCAAACCTTTTCCTTCAAAATCTTATACATAATATCCCTATTCATTTCAAGATTTAATTTCTGGCAAAGGTATTGCTCAATAATCTAGGCCATTAATTGACAAGTAATACGTAAGAAATACATGAGATGGTACTCACGCCTGTGGTCTAGCTCCTCCAGAGTTTACGATCTTCATTACGGCCATCGTCTGAACCACTTTGAGCGGCAGTGACACAACGTCTTTCGTGATTTGTGCCACTTGGCTCCAGTCAAGTTCGCCACATTCACGCGCCTTGAGGACCGTTGTCACTGTTAAGTACAACACGTACGCCCAGACAGCGCAAGAGACGTCATTGAAATCCAGCAGGTACAACTTTAGTTGCGAGGACTACGCATACAAAAAGAGATAACTATGGTCAGCCTCTGCGTTGCAACCTGGACACTCGTCTGTATCTACTTTTGCTCTCACCTTTTTAGCCTGCACGACCGTTCGTGGAAAGTCGTCGATGATAAAGCCACGACGGCACTCCAAACTCTTGATGGCGTCTTTAATGATACCGACGACAATCTCGTCGGTCACAAGTGCGCCCGACTCCATCGCGGCTTTGAAATTTTTGCCTTTGTCGGTACCAGCAGCTACAGCAGCGCGCAAGATGTCGCCCGTAGCCAAACGGCAGAGAATGTAATCGTTTTTGTCCAACGGCGATCGCGTACCTTGTATATTTAAGATTTTGAAGGAAGGGCGTAAATCTAAGCAAAAGAGGTGTAATTTTAGCAATTCCCTTTCTTTATATTTAATGCATATCAAAATATGACGGGTCCAATATTCTGGGCTGGATTGATGCAATTGTCAATCGTTAAACGGATAATTTCCATTTAGGACAGACTTAAGCGCATAATTAAATTCTACAATCACAAACTTATACATGGTCAGGAGTGTGGTAAAGTGGGGTCTCAAAACTGCGTAATGAGCCCACCAAAACACTCAATTTTCCGGACCGCCGGCTTACGGGGGAGGGGGATAACTAGATGCCTCGTATGGGACTTGATTCACCTCTTACTCGTCGGCTGGCAAATTGCACTCTTCGGTATTCTCGGAAGGAGACAAAGATACGTTAGCCTTGGCAGAGGTATAAATTTGTCTACACGTGGATATGCTTCACTCAGCGGGACAGTATGCGGCCGCTCGATCGAATCGGTAGAGAGAGGACTTACAACCACATTCTCCAGGTAGCTTGTCGCTCCTGACCTTCCGTTTGATCGAAGGGATGTTAACCTCCTGGTTTTTGCCGTGCTCCCTAGCTGCTAGGTTGGGAGGTTGCTTCCGATGGCGAATCCTAAGGGGGATTGCGACTCGACTAATCGAAAGACCAAATATTTTTAAGGTTCTACTGGCACTTAGGCTAGCCATGTAGTTGTCTTCATCGTGGAGGACAAAGTATATCTCTTCCCCGGAACAGGCGAAGGACTTAACAAGTTATCCCTATAGGCACGACGATGACGTGCCACGTAGAGCTCAAATTAAGTCGTATGTAACTGTGTCCTATCCTTGAACTTCTCTACTTTATACCTTTCCGGTGCACTGACTCTTCCTGTAACTGTTCAAGAGTAGCCGGAACTTGAGGGACCTGGTCTACCAGCGAGGGAACCAGGTTAACCGAGGAGGGGCCAGGTCTTACCGTGAGAGACCCAGGTCTAAAGATGAGGGACCAGGTCTAGTAATAAGAGACCCAGGTCTACCGGTAAGAAATCGGGTCTAACAATGAGGGACCACGGTTGTCTTCTTTCAGTACCGCTTACAGGTACCTTGGCAACGTATTTCCCCCTGATTCGTCCTTCGGACTCCTCCTCATGAAGGCTTAACCCCTTTTGAGGTCCCTTCTTCTTCGAGCACCTCCTTTCGGTAGGGTGACCCTTATCCCTTTGCCGTGCCGACCTCGGGGTATATTTTTTCTTCAAAAGCACTTCACAACAGGAGTTTGTGATGTCTACCATATACCGAAACCGCAAATGCCAGAAACTATGGAATGCTGATCGAACCTATTCATCCGACTGTAATACCGGGTATTTATTACGCCTATAAATATATTAAGAATGCAGAAAAGTTTAGGTTTGCCCTTATTTTTTTGCTATGTAATTACGTAAACGTTTTGCTCTTAATTTTAATATTTACGGATCAATTAATGGATTTAGGAAGGGTTATTGAATATCGAACGTGAGCCTTGACCTTTTCCATTTTTTGCCAACCAGTTCTTAGTAAAAAAAAACTTGCACTCGAATCCTTACAACACCCATCTTTCGATCAGCCCAGCTTAACTAATAAGCTACGCCAAATGTTGCATAACGAAAAGGGTTGCAATTCCTCATAGGTTTAGTGAAGCCATTGCCGAAATCAATAACTTAGCCAATTTAAATCGATCAAGTCATTGATTCCCAGAAACACGTCGGCAATATCTCCTTCCACCAATACTTTATACTGATGTGCTTCACACAAAAAGTTATATGCTTGTTTTAACATCATGTTGAACTGATTATCGTGCCAACTCCTTATAAAATGATGCACCTTTCCAAACTTTTTGGTGCCTAAGGCAGGTAGTAACTATAATCACTATACACATACATACACATATCTATCCATATGTAGATATAAAGTGATTGAACAAGGCACAAGGTGGCTGAGCCCTTGCTTATCGTGCGGGGACGTCACCGGTTGATTACACTCATAATCCTTACTGTGCACTTATGATATCTATATAAGATCTTGTGATGAGGTGAGTGGTTTGCTAAATAAGCGATAATTATCATTATACGCTCTCACCTGTAATTTAGCCTTTTATACACATAACGAGGTGTAATGTTTCCAATGTTTGTTGCGGTCTATATGAAGACTTTACAGGTTTAAACGAAAGCAGCTATCAATCAGATATGAGCAAATACGAGATGTGGGTTTTACGAACATACATATATGGGTTTATTGTAGGCTTTCACCGCATGCCAGCGCGATCTTCAAACGATGATTGTTTTTCAAATAATGCAATCGATTGTATGCACTTGACGCTTCCATAGACGCGTTAAAAATTAGCAAAAATAGTCTCTACATAATATTTTGAGAATACTGAACGTATCTTGTACTCATAAATTCTGGTAAATGACAGTGTATGTCAAGTGAATACTGTGTCTGATTGCTATTTTATAAAAGGCTCACATAATTTTCCAGGCGTGCATGATTTGCGCCAAATGGTGGTGTTATTGCTCTCGTCTTCACCCTTGATCGTTTTGTAAGCTTTTTCGCAAACAGTGTTATCAATATCAATTTGGCAAATTTTTGGGCTTCAACGCTGCAACATAACTTTAGTCTATATCGTCGTCGATGAACTAGTAGTCGCCGATGTCACCAGATGTTTGCGCCGAAATATTAGTGCTGCCATATGCGCTGCTACGACATCCGGGTGTTGTCGGTAGTTTTCAAGCGTTTCTCCATGGAGTTGCCTTACTGATCAAATTAAACTTAATTGATAAAGGTTTTCATTTGCAAATTGACGCCTTGTTCTCATTAACAGTTGACCTTTAAATAACAAGTTTTTGTAATTAATACTGAAAACTGATCTTGATGAAGGTGTAAGACGACATGATCATATCATTATGTCGGGCAAACAAAAGTGAGCGCGTATGTGTAATAAGTTGTTAATCTTTTGTTGTGATGGATTGTACGTCACCATCAAATTTGTGTATTGACAAGTTTGTTTGTTTGGTACACCTGTATGCACGGCGTGGCCATCTAAAATGTCTTTATCTGGTAATAACTGTACCGCATCAATTACTTGATTGTGATGGACCACGCATGATTTCACAAACTACATATAAGATGTGCCACACGCCTGTCGTTTGCGGCACACGCCTCCAGTAAAAAATCACATTTACATGTGACAAGCTATTTACTGGCGAGCATCATCTTGCATATCAATTTACAAATCGTAGCTGTCGAAACTTGTGATATTGGGTGGGGGGTCTACCTGGGGCCTAGGGCAAGGACCGACCGCTCCGATAAATTGGTGCAGGTGCATATATTTCTACGACTAAACAATCTTTCATAAAAAATGTGCGACCCACTATCCTGTCTGGTACTGAATTGGGGACCCGGTACCAGTGAGTGAGCATGTAAATGCATTTGACCCAGACAAAGAATTGTTAAGACGATCTGTACTGGATTGTACCTAGTGTATCCGGCAAAAGTTCGAAGCATGGCACGATAACACGTCCGGTAAGGAATGTGCAATCCCTAGCCGAATAGGACAGTTCAACTCGATCGAATACGAAACTTACCGGCAGGTCTATTTACAAATTAAGGAGATATTGAGTCGTAGGACTACATATAGCACCTTTCTGACGATTATTTTTTTCGTCGACGGCATGGAGGTCAACAAAGCTTCATCTACTCATTTCTTGGCGCAGCCTTTTGTTGTGGCGGCACAAGTAGTTTATACTTCACTTATATGACACATATTGTTGTAGATGAGTTATCTCGATATAGCAAGCAGTAATTGCATTAATGACAGACAATAATTGCATGTGCATTATCCTACGCAACAGGTTTGCCATTCGAGGTGAAGGGATTAAGCTAGTGCCTAGCGTTTCATGTATGTGTCGAGTTCGCAACAAATATATATTTTGAGTAATTGTGAGTGTCCGACAGTGTTTTCGGACTTAAATAGTACCCGTGACGTCTTAAAGTACTATCGAATACCCGTGTAAGTCTTGTAAAAGTGTCAATTTCGTGTTTCTACCTCAATGTGAGCGTGATGCGCGCCAAAGTATAGGCCACGTATCAGCTGATGAAATATGCTGCAATTTTTTCTCAACAGCTCAACGGGACGACAAACCAAGCCGCTTGGATTCCTTTTTTCTTATTGTCAGTCTAATTTTAAGTAGATTGAAATACGTAGTACGAAAATAGGCGCCGATATGTATGTGATCTTGTACTTTGCTTGCATCTTATGGGGTTTTTATATGCAAGGAGACTGTAAGAATACAATACAGTATGCGATTCTACTGTTTATCACACAACTTACTGCGTGAAACTTAAAAAGTGGTAGATTGTAGGCTACTGTCATGTCATACCTCAGAGGAAATGAGAATAACAAATGTTGACCGCAAATGAGAATGGGAGAGTTTATAGAACCCGTAATAAGATTCAAAAATACAAATCAAGGTGTATCTCGCTACATCACTTCACATTTTTGGTCGCGGTTTATCTCCCACGATGGGTCCATTTTGGTGTGTAAACATATGCTGCATCTGACGATTATCGTGGATGACTTAGCTACTGATCATGTCTCTCTCTTGTTTATATACGACTAGAAGCTTACCATAATTACAACAGCTTCGGTTATCTGCTCACAAATAATACGCTGATCGTTCTGCGACCCATTCTTCGATACGATTGCCGAACACCATGTTTATTTCTCTCATTTTATGCCCGCAAAGTAGATGCAATGCATATCGATGAATACTCGACAGGCGTATTTTGCATTGAGTTCCTATCTGCTGCAAAAAAGTGCAATGGCTAGTCATCTCGATCATTATACACAAATTGGATATTGAAGCCCATCCTTTTGCTTACCGATGCTTTGTATATTCAGAAGCAACACACACAGATAATGTGAGAGCATTTTTAAATCCACAAACGAGTACGCATGTCAAAGATTGCAATTCAGCATCTCCTTAACTATTTTATCCAAATTTGCCGATGACGTCTACAATGGCAAGATTATTTCATTGTCACTTAACGCTATTTATGTTGCTAGCTTTGTGTCAATGACAGCAAACATTCGTAACTGCTACTCTTTCGCGAACCATGGCCGCTCTTCTGAAGTAGCACGATTGCTTCCGCTTTGTCGTCTTGGGTACAGGCCGGTCGAGACGTTCTCAATTGGATCCTTGTTAGTCATGGGATGCGGTCAACGGGGTTGGATTGAGTTGGTTCCGGACAACGATCTGATGCGGGCTAGCGACGCTCCTATTGCTCGTGCTCCTTCTTTTATTAATGGCAACCGATTCTTTGGGCACATTCATGTGGTGCACTGCAGAGCGAAATAACATACACAAAAATGTGCGCCCAAGATGATATGTTGACTTCTTCTTCTTCACGTACCCCTTGTTCGGCAGAAAGTACCTCGTTTTGGTTCAAAAGCGCTTTCTATACACCTTATGCATACCATCGAGCTCTTAGCTCTCGCTAAAACACACCAACCTAGAAGGAATCGGAAAGCAACGTGGGACAACTGCTTTCTGGTTTTACAAGCTATCAATAATTTTTTCAGCTATCTGACGACAGTTTTGCTAGCAAGTGTAAGTATCGCCAAATGTGTAGCAGTTTGTCATGTGGCTTAGACGCTCCTTACGGGTCGATCAATCTTCTGTACTCTATGCGAATGTGTGACATTTGTATCGATGCTTGCTTCGCAAAGTGCTGTCGGTGTTGAGTTCCTTATGTGGTAAGTGTGTGCTACAAGTAAAGGCTGAAATCAGATTGCTGGTCAAGTAAATTGAACACAGGGAGCGGCACAGCAGTGGTGATCCAGTACCATGTCATCAGACGTGTGACATAGACCCGCCATTAAGTGACTTGTTGTTGAACATGAGGAGGCTCCATATTGGTTTTATAGTCAAACGCTTATTTACCTTGTTCAATTATGCAGTTAATGAATACGTTGTGCGACTTTGTAAATGTAACTTGCGCACGATATGTGCTGCCACTTCGTAAAAACCCTAAGCGAGAGGTAAAAGTGCATGATGTCTGACAACAGAAGAGCACGATGCAATTTAATTAATGCATCGTCTGAAGGAGTCTCGTGTCTGCTCGTGCTACTATCTAACATGAATAGTAAAACATCTGTGCTCTCCAAGCCCCTCGGGCGCTGCGGCAACGTCAATCTTGATACTCAGATAGCTAGTGACTTCCAGAAGAGCGGTGCCAAATCTGCAGACACAGCGCTGCCACCCACGTGTGGAAGCTCACACGTATGATATGGTTGTCACGCATGGGTCATAGTAATCCTGAGCTTGTTCAACATCACGAGGCATTGCATGTCTACGAGGTAGTATCATGCGTAGTATATAGCTAGGATGTATCCTGACACGCACATAACGTTTTTGTAGATTTGTGATGCCTACAAAGCGGTGAATTTTACTTCTTATGTTTCGTGAAAGTTCTAGGTAGCCGATGAAATGGCGCGGAGTGGCTGTGCCACTTCGTTGGTCGACATTGCGATCCGGATAAACGCTAAATGGCGCCGTCAACAGGTCCGGACAAGACGTAGGCCAGAGATACTGACGATCGAACTAGGTGAGAGTCTGTATTCGACACAATCAGGCATTTTTACTTGCTCTTTCCGAGCGGCGTGTGCAGATTGTGTTTTTTAGTTAGCCGCACGACCTCTGTGACGGCAACACGCATCGCGTTGTACAATCGTACGTCGGACTCAGATCAAATTCCTATCGCGAACGGCTGATGAAAAGGTAAGCAAATTACCGAACGGCAAGTACTTGTCTTGAATTTGACATAATTTTTTTGTATAAAATCATTAGCCAAGCGCGACTATGAAGCACGACTCAGTTTCCACTGCAAGAGCTCCTGATCAACACAGATCATTTCTCTTGCAGTTACTCGAGCTTTTCGAATGCATGCATGGATCTGGTTCACAGGCTAATGATGTAGCGGCATACAGATTCTCACGTGCGCCAAGGTCGAAGACCATGCGCCAGCGCAATCTGAGTCGTTGTGGATCGCCTACCAGTGTCTTGTCGGGCTTGTGAGCGCTATGCTAGTAGACTTCACTTCATTGTCAAATTTGCAACTTTCTTCAAGGATAACGGTAAACTAGGAACTGTTCAAGCTGCCATGAAGATCTTAGCAACTCCTGCTTTCGCGCTTCTAGCTGCAGCTTTCGCACGTTCTACTTTCACAACTCTCGCTCAGCAAGTTGGAACCAATACGAAAGAGGTGCACCCACCTCTCGTGTCTTCTCACTGCTCAAAGACCGCCGGGTGCGTAACGGAGACGACATCGATTGTGCTGGACGCCAACTGGCGCTGGCTGCATCAAGTTGGCGACTATAAAAACTGCTACACTGGCAATCAGTGGGACTCCACGCTGTGCTCAGACCCAAAAGCTTGCGCCCGAAATTGCGCTCTCGAAGGTGCAAACTACCAAGGAACCTACGGCATTACCACATCCGGCGACGAGTTGAAGCTCAATTTAGTCACGCAAGACCAGTATGGAACGAACGTGGGCTCGCGTGTTTACCTCTTGGACGCGGACGGCTCCAAGTATAAGCAATTCAAGTTGCTGAATCAGGAGTTTACACTCGACGTGGACGTCTCCAATCTTCCTTGCGGACTCAACGGTGCGCTTTACTTTGTGCAGATGGACAGCGACGGAGGAGGTAGTCGCTTTCCATCCAACCAGGCAGGTGCAGGCTATGGCACGGGCTACTGCGATGCCCAGTGTCCGCATGACATCAAGTTTATCAACGGCGAGGCCAACACGCTCGAATGGGGTGCTACGAGCCAAAATGCAGGTGGTGGGAAGTATGGTGCCTGCTGCGCTGAGCTAGACATTTGGGAGGCAAACAGCATGAGCAATGCTTTCACTTCGCACCCGTGCACGTCAAAAGGACTTTTACGCTGCTCAAGCCCGGAGGAGTGCGGCAGCGGTGATGGCAATCGCTACAAGGGCGTGTGTGACAAAGACGGCTGTGACTTTAACCCCTTCCGAATGGGCAACGAGACGTTTTACGGCCCCGGGCCTCAATTTACTATCGACACCACGCGGAAGTTCACGATCGTCACCCAATTCATTACGAGTGACAATACCGCAGCTGGGCATCTCGTCGAGATCCGACGCTTGTTCAAGCAGGACGATCGCGTTGTAGCCATGCCACAGAGCAACTGGTCCATCTTGGACAGTGCCGACTCGATTACCGACTCGATGTGCGAGGCATCCAAGACTTTTTTCAAGGACCCGAACGATCACGCTGACAAGGGTGGGCTCGTGCGCATGGGCGAGCAAATGGCGAGCGGCATGACGCTCGTCATGAGCTTGTGGTCCGACCATGCCGCCTACTGTCTCTGGCTCGACAGCAGCTACCCTGCTGAAGCGGACTCGACGACGCCCGGCGTCAAGCGTGGCCCGTGTCCAACGTCCGGCGGTCGTCCGGCTGAGGTGGAGATCCAGCACCCGGATGCCACCGTCAAGTTCATGAACATTCGCGTGGGAGACATTGACTCGACGTACTAGAAAGACGGCGAAAATCGGCTGTTCGGTACGTCAAAGTAGAGACGCTTAACACCTCAGGTTGTTCATGTCGCAAGATGTCGCTTAGATCGCTAGTTTGCCTTGCATCGTTATCTCCACGATCAATTGAGCTCAACGATTCCGCCCTAACGTTCATTGCTCTACTTTATCACGTCACGAAAAGGACGCAATGTGCGGTCGAAAGCAAGCAGTAATCGAGTCGTAGAATTGAGAAGCTCAGATTGTTTTGCGAGACTTGGCGATCCCTTTTCGCACGATAACAACGCATCGGCCAGCCGCCAGCACGCGTACAGGTTTTTCCATCCATCGACGTCTGTATCCGCATCGGTAGTTGACTCTGTGCTAGGGCGACATGCAAAATAATTTGCTCCACGTGGGTTGCTACAACAATTTCAGCTAATTACAAGTGCAGGCGTTTGTTTGTTTGACTGCGGTTCAAAAGAGTTCTTACGACAGTCGGCAGATGACACACGTTGGGGCCTTTCGATTCGTCAGTGGTCTCGTTCGTTCATCATTCCAAAATACTGAGTGAATAGACCAATGGGTTGAGGTATCGTCTCATCGTGACGAGCGATCGCACGAGTTGTCTTTCATCAAAAGCGCGTCAGTGATTGGCTGAATCTGATGCACGGAAACCCCATCTGTCGGCGTGACGATGACATGTCAGCGCAAAAATCGAATGTCAGCGCGCGTCTACGCCGTCGGATTGGACGGCGTTCCGTTGTCCTGCATCAATTATCACCAATCAGGCTGCACATCCCGTCTCGCTGCCAGTGTCGGAACGACACCCGCGACGCCTCTCGGTCCGTCGTGCGCCATTGATCGATATTTTCGTCTTGACTTCACTATGCCATCGACCCCCTGACATCACGCGTTGGACGGGAGGCGTCACACCACCCACGTCGTCTCCCTCAGCCCTAGCCGCGTCCAGGCATACAAACACCAAGCCCCACGGCCGCCCCAACCGATGACATCAACGCAGCTCCGCCAAAGGACGTCAGCCACGCAGCCCGCGCGTCCATCACACGGTCGGCCTCCCCATCGCTTTTCCTCTCTCCTGTGCCTGAAGGCCATCCACACTGTCCCCACCACCGCCGCAGTCGCAGTCGCGCGCAAGAACGCGACCGTCGTCCAGCGCCCCACTCCCTCTTCCGTCACGCGCGTGTCCATGGCCTCTCCTCCTCCACCAGTCACTTTGCCATTTGCCATCGACTGCTCCTCTCTCTCCTTCCCGTTCCCTCTCTCTCTCTCTCTTCTAGTCGAGCGCCCGTCCCGACACGCGCGCCGCCCGTAGGATGATGTCCTTTGCGCAGTTCAAGCGCGAGGCCAACTGGTTCATGGTCTACTACCTCTCGATCGTCCACCTCGGCGCGCTCGAGGGTCTGCGTCGACTCCCGAGCTGCCAGTACCAGACCTTCCCGCTCTTTGTCGTGCTCTACTACTTCACGGGCCTCGGCATCACTATGGGCGCGCACCGCCTGTGGGCCCACCGGAGCTACAAAGCCCACGGCCTCTTGCGCTTCGGCCTCATGCTGTGCAACTGCATGGCCAACCAGGGCACGATCTTCCACTGGAGCCGCGACCACCGCGTGCACCACAAGTACTCGGACACAGTGGCCGATCCGCACGACTCGCACCGCGGCTTCTTCTTCTCGCACATGGGCTGGCTGCTCGTCAAGAAGGACCCGCGCGTGCTCGAGGCCGGCACGAAGCTCAACTACACGGACCTCTGGGCCGACTGGACCGTCGTCATGCAGGAGAAGCTCAACCCGTACGGGAACCTCTTCATGTGCTTTGTCGTGCCGACGCTCGTGGGCGTCCACGTCGCGGGCGAAGACTGGCGCCACGCGCTCTTCGTGCTCGGCTTCCTCCGCTACGTGCTCGTGCTGCACGCCACGTGGCTCGTGAACAGCGCCGCGCACTTTTACGGCGCGCAGCCCTACGACGCGATCCCGCCACGCGAAAACGGCTTTGTCGCGTTCTGGGCCATGGGCGAGGGCTGGCACAACTGGCACCACAAGTTCCCGTACGACTACGCCACGAGCGAGTTCGGCGTCACGGCGCAGTTCAACCCGACGAAGCTCACGATCGACCTGCTGGCGGCCGTGGGCCTCGTGTCGGACCGCAAGCGCGCGACGGACATTTGGGGCAAGATGCAGCGCGCCACGGACAGCGCGGGCGACAAGGTGCAGGACCCGAACGGAGACGACCCCGCGCAGGCGTTCTCCGAACTCAAGGCCAAAGCCAATTAACATAACACACTGTGGTCGTTGTCGCCGTTCGCTCGCGCCAGTCACTTGCTCGCTCTATCGATCGGATTGCTGTTGTTGTTGTTGTTGTACTTGGGTTCAGTAGGTGGACGTGGTCGTTGTTGACGTGTGGGTGAGGTGCACGTCGTTGATGTAATATTTGAAGTGGTGCGGCCGCTGCCCGTCTGCTGTAGTCCTATTTGGGCGTCGCTTTGTGTTGTGCACGTCGTGTGAAGCGCTGGCTGCAGACTGAGGTCTTCTCTTTCTCTCTGCGTTTTCACACACACACACACATACACTGCTGAAAGTAATCGATAGACTTTGCGAACATACTACCGACTTATAATCGCTGAACACCTATGATACCGGAACGAATGGACTCTTCAACCACCAGAGCACACACTCAGCACTTCACATGGTGCGTCTACGTCGACAATCGATTGGTTGGGTCGCCATCGGCACTTTTGTTACGAAGGCTTCGTGGACGCAGCTTTGTATCAGTTGAGGTGACAAGCGGGACAGAGCCTGTCAATGGGTCAGCCAAAAGGTGTTCGGGCTGTTTCGTTATCAAGGGAGCTATCGTTTACATTTAGCTGCCGGGGAATGAGGCGCCAGCGAGAAGCTGCAAATCGACACGCGATCGTGCGACTCCACACGCACTGCCGTTGCAAGACAAGAGGGTCATCGTATCGGGCAAGTGTAACTGTTACTCTGTACAATGACTCGTCAATTGATGGATGGAAACCAAAGCATTGCATTATTGACATCGAGCTCGTCGTGCACAAGGCCGCGCGCGAGCTCAATTTAACAATGGACAACGCCGAGAGTGACGTACTGTCGCATCATGAGACGCCTAGGCGCTATCCTCGCCCTGGAACTTGTAAGTCACGTGGCACTTGCCACAGTAGTGACGGTCGAAGTGGGTGGCCATAAAGACACCGGCACCACACTGGGGCGCCGGGCATTCCTTCTTCAGACGCTGGATCTTGCCATTGTCATCCACCTTGTAGCACTTGAGCACCGCAAGCTTCACCTTCTTGTGCTTGTGTTTGATCTTCTTCGGCTTGGTGTACACTTTTTTTGCGCTTCTTGCCACCGCCACGCAGACGAAGCACCAGGTGCAGCGTCGACTCTTTCTGGATGTTGTAGTCCGACAGAGTACGGCCGTCCTCTAGCTGCTTGCCAGCAAAGATGAGACGCTGCTGGTCAGGCGGAATACCTGAACACAACCAGAGCCATTACAAGGTGAGCATGACCCTTGGAATGTGAAACGACACTCGCGCTCAGACATACCTTCCTTGTCCTGAATTTTCTGCTTGACATTGTCAATGCTGTCCGACGGCTCCACGTCGAGCGTGATCGTCTTGCCCGTCAGGGTCTTGACGAAAATCTGCATTTCCTGCAGCGTGAGATATCCAGTGTTAGCTCAGCTTGCGATACAACACATTTCCACGTCGGCTCGACCCCACACGGCTGATAGACGAAACAAGAGGGGCGGTGGAGGGAGTATGGGATGGCCTCTCGCCGAGACGTCACCATGTCCTAATTGGACTTCCCTATGGTGTCGCCTTGTACACTTTCTCAGCCCTCTCATCACCACTCCATTCATCTAAGCCTGCTCGTGACAAGCTGACGTGGCGAGCACCTACGCAGTCATACATATACCTACGGATCGGGCACCACGAAGAGACCTTTTATCATAGCATCTCACGTGGCCGCCACCCGATCCGATCCTTGATACACGCAAGACGCAGCCAATTCCAGCAAGCGACGACTGCGAGTAATTTGGGGTGCGCAGCTTCGTGTGAGGAAGAGGTCACACAGTACGTCGCTCGGATGAAATGCGCATTACCGTCAGGTGCAGAAGCAGTATCAAGGATCGGGATCCGTAGGTAGGATGCAGTCACACGCACGAAGAGATTGCATCGCATGCACACATACCGTCAGGTGGTCTCCTAATCCAAACTGACCTCGAATGGAGCTGCCCAACGTTAGAGCTCGCCGCAACCACTCGATTTTTCAAGTCGTTTCAGATAAGGTGCCAAAGAAGAGATATGATTGGCGGAAACAAATGAACATGTCGATTGATGGGAGGTGAAAGAAATAAATGCACACAACTTATTTATATTCCCTCCCATCAATCGCCATTTGAACGTGCATTATAATTGCATCACAAGCGTGAGAACGTAAAAAATAGACACAAATTTTCTAACAGAAAAAGAAACACAAGGACGTATACTATACGCTTCTACCAGCACTTGCCTGGGATCGTTGGTACAAGTCCACGATTGTCTTCCTCATTTCCTTTGTAACTTGGTTCATCAGAAATGGTGCATCTTCTTTTTAAGACAGGTATTTTGCGAGAGAAAGAAGGCGCGTTTCATTTTTTGCGTTGCCAGACACTGTCGTCTATCTGTCTTCTATAATTCCACGTTGCTTCCATGTCTTCCATACATATCGATAACTGCTTGACATCGGGTTCTGTGGAGCTGTCGCCTCGGTGGTGTCGTTGAGTGTAGATAGCGTGATTGACTGCGCAGGGTCAGCGTGTCGCGTTGCACTGCTATAAAGGTGTTTATGTTACAATCAAGAGGGTATGACGACGGTGAACCTCATCAGCCAGAACAGACACTACTGGAGAGAAGACCATCTTTTGATGCTATTGCAGGTTATCGTGGAAGTGCTTGGAAGTATAAGTTTGAAAAATGCTGGACGTGAAGGCTTCGGCCACATGACGCTGTTGCTGCAAGCCGTGTTGCTCCCTAGGGATCGCTAAATTTCCATAGCTGCTGCTGTTCATGACAATTCTGCTTCAGCCGCCTGTGCTCCCGTTCGAGCCGCCGTTGCTGCGTATTGTCAAGATAAGAAAGGCACTAGACTCGATTACTTGCTCTATGAATTGGTGCGGAACTATTGACCGGGAGTGCCAATCAGTTGTCTTCATGTGAAATAAGAAGATACTACGTGCTATTTCTACTGCTTTCATACTGTTTTCGGCTATGCGTAGTCAACAATTCACTAATGTTGAGCCTTTGATTGTTGACGCTTTTAATCCTACAATTGCTCCCTTAGACCTGAAGACAAATCGTGAGAAGCGAAGTTGTCTCATCTACCACTATCATCCGCTGCCTTGTGCGGCCAAAATTTCCGAATGAAAGAAGTGCGGGCACAATAGGCAGTTTTGCTCAAACCGAAAATAAAGGTATGAGGTGGACTGTTGACGTGTTTTTTCGCACGCGAAAATACGGGACGCATGCTAGCAGAGCGCACGATGCTTCACAGGTTCTACGTACGTCACAAGTTGAGCTTCTCTTATACGTTGTGATTGCTGTGCTGAGCTGTATACCGCCGTCTCAAAGCTCTGGAGATGGATGATGTCTTGCTGTGAATAACTAAAGTCAACAAGCGCAAAGACCTAGCTGGCCCCTTTCGGTCCACATCGACTAGTAGCTCAATACATGGTCATTACAATGCTGCTTATTTGAATTTGTCGAGCTCTATACGCAACGCCAAATTCTATTATCGAGCCATGCTATTACCAATTTTTGTGGCCGAGCTATAGCGAGTCAGCAGTATTTATGGAATATGACATAGTAATCAATAATGTGAGAAAATTAGTTAAACGACACAATATTTAAATTAAAATGCCTGCTTTGTCAAAGACAGCTACCATGACTGTATGCATAACAAGGGTTGCATCCATGATTCCAAAATTGATCTGTGATGTGACTGTTGTGCCGTGTCGTTTTTAACCTCCATGCCTAAGACATTCGTTATATTTTTGTTTTTTTATAGTTTAATAATATAGCTTCACCTGGCGCAATATATTCGATCAAATTCGAAGCGTTTTTTTCTCTAAATCCAATTAATATTGGTAGTGATTTATTCTGCCATGTGTTCATCATTGACGTTTAATCACCTACTATCATGATCTAATTACAAAGAGAACTTGTTCGTGCTTCGTTCTATTATGATCATATTGCTTCTTTTTATAAATATTTTATATTAGCTTCTGCGAGCTAATTAATATTTGTATATAAGCATTTAGCTTTTGTCAGCCATTTTTTAGGGAGCCGCTAATGAGCCTTCAATTTTCGCTAATGCACCTCCACCCTATACATTAAAAAGGTAGTGGATTGAAGGTATCTAATTTCTACTATTATATTGTTGTACTTTTAAGAAACAACGCTTATTCATCTTATATCATCTATTAAATCGGACCCGTGACAACCTTCCTAAAAAGGTATTGGATAGGCCTTACCCAGCTCACAGAAGAAATGTTTGACTGTGTACGAAGCTCGCCACGTGCTTGACGAGCTAATACTGCCGGAAGGCTATGTTACAACCATTAAAAGACAACAAAAGGTGGGTAACCGCAAGGACGGTGAGGTTAAAGCAGTAGATCTGCAATACTCATGCCACGGCCGATGACCTTATTCTGGTACAGAATCAGGTACATCGCTTCTTCGTCAGCGCATGGGCTCCAGCCGCTCCACTGGCTGCTCCTTCTCGGCCACGATCAAACGACAGCGACGTCAAGAACTACCAGACCAGTAATTGATTAAAGTCACGCATGAAGGGAAACCATGATCCCTTTGTGGGTATCAAGGCGATTCTACGTGTATGTGCTCTGGCGGAAGCACAGGAACAATCAATGATTGCGAGTCTGTCGTGCAGGCATCAGCGCTGATCGCATCATTGTCTACCTTCGGCAATCTGATATTGTAAATTTTATTGCGCGAGATATATACAACATTCGCGCAAATGAGCGCCAAAGATTGCTAGGAGAAAGGTCTCCGCTTACACACTTGCTTAAAAGTCTAGCAACAAGCAATGACAAAAAACAACAATGCGCCTAATTACGCGAAATTTGATGCTGAGCAGCAGCTCACGCACCTTTTTATCAGGGAAATTAATGCCTGTTTCAGCTCAGGTCGGATGTTTTTAATTGACGCCACTTACAAGACCAATCGATTCCGACTACCTTTACTGCACATTGTACGCGTAACTGCGACCACCAACAGCTACGCTTTCGCCTACAGTTTTTTAGAAACGAGATAAAGGAGACTACATCTGAGCGATGCAGAACCTAGGGCGGGTATTCGAGACGTTCGACATCGCTACACCAAAAACACACGTTGTTGATCGCGAGATGGCATTATCAAACGTGCTCGGTAACTATTTTCCCTTTGCAAGGACACTGCTTTGTAGATGGCACATAAACAAAAACATCACCTCCAAGATGCAAAGGACATTTTGACTCCGCAAAGGAGTTTAAACATTTACAGCTCACGTGAAACTGCTTGGTACAAGCTCAATCAGCGACGGAGTATGAACGTCAGCTTGTTGCGATGAGGGTAGATTTACCAGCTCATGTAATGGAGTAATCGGATTATACTTGGCTAGTTTGCAAAAAGATATTCGTGTACTGCTACTTGCATGGTTGTCTACATTACGGTCATGTGACAACATCACGTGTCGAGAGCGCACATGCGGCTACCAAGAAGTGGGTGAACAGATCTACAGGTAAGTAGCATTGGACATAGTGATATTGGTAGCTTGCCTACTGGAATATATTATCGCATTTAGATGACCCATGGCCGTTAGGCACAGCTCTAGAGTTGGCTTGCCACGGCCAACTTGCTATAGTCAGCCATCAGAACGCAAGAGAACGCGCCATCGTCGACATGCAGCTAGGGCCTCTGTTTTCAGGTGTAATGAAAAAGATTTCCGCCGCAAGTTTACTGACAGCGTTAATGGCTTTCACGACTTTACCCAGGACCTCGTCAGAATATGATGACACATTAATTGGGACATCCTTGTCGTCATGCAATTCCCAGATTGCATCGGCCGTTTACAGTACAAGATTTTGACCAGCGTTGGTGGTTAATTCAAGCTTTAACACGAATGGCTGACACCGAGGCAGTCAAATATGTTTTTTCGTTATGAAACTGTGATTAAATGATTTCTTGAAATGTATGTTAATGCTGACAGAAACCAGCAAAGGATGCTATACGATCATGCTATCGCTACTATAGATTCCGCAATACGTGACCCTGTGCTGGTTAGGACGCGCGGGATCCCGACAGGTTCTACCCGCCGCGATTTACCTCAATTTGAAAATGTACAGAACCCGTTAAAATCTAAGAGACGTCGACGATGTGGACGCTGACAATTTTTGGGCAGGACATGTCGTCAAGCCGCACAAGCACAAGCAGTGCCTGCAGCACATCTAGTATTGCGACAGATTGAGAATAAAGAGCATTTCGATCATGTGCTTGATGCTGTCAATGCTGCATCAAACATTAAACTGTGATGTAGATGTTGATAGTCGTGAGCAATATACATGCTCCTTTATTAGATTCCATCACTATGTAAATAACTCTGTTTAACTAC